ATGACATTCGAGAACGCTGCGTTACTGCATTTGATGTAAATCCAACTAGACATGGGTTTTAACCTGCTTGAAGTGACCAGTGCTGTTTTCAGTGTCTTCTTTCACTGATAAAAATCCTTTCTTTAAAGGTGCACTAAGACTTTACACATTGTCAGATGAATCAAGTGAAAATGGAACAGAGTCTGTTATTCTACTCTCCTCCATGACAATCTGCTGCCTTCAGCACTTCAGTTGTTATTCCGGGTTTTCTGTCCCATTTTTTTTCAGAATCGGGTCTGTAAATTTCACAGTAATTCAAGCTTTGTGTAACATTTATGTTTTGTGTGCCATTAGTCACGACCACAGCATTCTACTTGTTGAAAAAGGTACAGTACTTCACCTAACCCTAGCTCTGGACTGGAGGTTGCACTTCTGAACAATTTCTAATAGGTTTTCTAGGTAAGTTATTGCTGCCCTCTTTTTTTTTTTTTGGCCCAAATATAGGTTAAAATATAACTGAAGTGCTAGACATCTGCAGAAATCTCTCTAGCTACAGATTCCCCACAAAGTTGCAACAAAAAAACTGGACAAACATTCACTGAGGGCACAGTTCTTAAGATGTGTGCCAAATAATACAATATCAGGAAGGGATCTGAAGTTTTATATAATGCACTTTCTTATGACTGACAGCAAACCCAAAGCTATGATGTGTTATGAAATCATAAACCACTCCTATCTGTTACACAGACAGGTTATGTTTCATGCTAAAAGTTACTCCCTGCTTCTACCTGGAATACACAACAGTTTATAGGGATATTTCTAGGCGTTTCTTGGTTGGCGATGTGCCATCATCTCAACGACTTAATCATTAATCAGATCATGCATCCTTGTTGTTAATAGTGAATCCAATAAGGTACCTACTAAAAAGTTAAAGGAAGTGTGTGCATATGTGCACATTGATTGTTCGGCTGAGGCAGTTATGAGGCAGTGCTGGCAGCAGGAAGTGGGTTGTGTTTTTTGGTGCTGTGTCAGAGGAAGTAGCAGATTGTATCACGGGTGGAACAGATGGAGGGAAAGGGGGATAAGTGGAAGATGGATTAGGAGACTACAGGGAGAGCATTTTGGGGAGCGGGGTGTGTGCAAATAAGGAGAGGCTGGGGAGGAAGGGGGAAAGCTGTGTCTTTGCTCCCCTCAAGCTTATGTACTTACTTTTATCTGCTTATCTAGTGAGCATTTGTTTGATTTTCCCTCCACCAAGGGCGGGTGTTATGTTTTTGCTGGCATTTGTTGGTTTGTTTGTTCACAGCATAACTCAAAAAGTAACAAACTGATTTTGATGAAACTTTTGGAGAGGTTGAGTATGGCCCACAGAACAATTGATTAGATTTTAGTGCTGATCTGTCACTTAGGTATAGTGTGACTTGTGCATCTATGAAGAACTGTAAGTAGAAATTATGTTAGTCTGCATGGGACATTTATTTAGCCTTTTGTGGCTTACTATTCACTCATGTCAGTGTACTATGTAAAGCTAATCTGTTCATCGTGTTGCTGAAGCTAGCTGACATGCTGCATTCTGGGGGTATTCATAAAGCAGGTTAAGTTTGTTCAAGGTGAAATGAGGTTGTTCAGTTCCAGAACACGAGATCTGTTTTGTACAGTGACAGCTGGGTGAGAGCCTTATAGCTCAAAGCTGTAAACATTTTCACCAGTAGGACTGGAATTATGCCATTTAACCCCAATTTGACATATCTTCGGGTGACAAAGTAACCACTTATTGAGAATATGTGGTCAGTCTATCCAAGTAATGCCAATTTAGAATTTGTTCCCACGTTTTCGGAGGTGCGAGTACCAAGCTAGCTCTGTTAGCAGGCAGCTACATCTCATTCAGAGCACAGCAGTCTGTCAGCGAGGACGCTGGGGTTCCAGCTGCACATTATAGCAGCGATTCCACTGTCAGAACCTAATGAGCAGTTCACTGTGCTTCCGTTAACCATCAGCAGGCAAGACACACACACACACACACACACAGAGCTGGGTAGAGGGGGAGCACAGGATGTGAAGTATCATTCCATACTGCAACAATCAGCCAGTAATGAAGATGAAAACATTATGAGCAGTTTAAAAAGTGTCAGGTCTGTAAAACGTACAGTGTATCAGGTGGTAAACTGTTCCACAGTTTAGGAACAGCCACAGTAAAAGCACGGTCACCCCAGCACTTAACACTTATCCCTCTGAATGTGTAGGAGGCGTTGGCTAGTGTACTGACTTGATTACTCTTACTCCCCCATAAGCATGAAAAAGTTTTCTTAACCAAGCAGGGGCCACGCCATTAAGAGCTTTAAAAACAAACCTCAAAAGTGTAAACTGTCCATTATTGACTGACTGTTTAGTCAAGATAGCAGATTACTTTGCTCTTGCTCCTGTGTTTACCAGGAATTTGCAAATATCTTTGTGTTAGGTATTTGCATGGACAGTTTTTGTTGTGGTATAGAAGAATGTGTTCTCTTCTACAAGGAAGGATTTGTTTATCTTTACATCTCACAGTCTGAATTGCAAACTTACTACCAAAACGTGTGGGCATTC